TTTTTTTTTTTTTTTTTTTTTTTTTTTTTTTTTTTTTTTTTTTTTTTTTTTTTTTTTTTTTTTTTTTTTTTTTTTACCAACTAACATTGTCTACATAAAAAGTGGGATGTGGGAAGTGGGACAGAAGAAATCTCAAAAAAAAAAAAGAAAAAAGAGAATAAAGAGAATAAATAAAATAAATAAATATATATATATATACTTAATATACATAATTACTCGTCCGAACGGTAAATAACGAAATTACGAAAAACTTAAGTTGTCAATCATAAAAATTTTTTTTTCTAAAAAAAAAAACTTATTTGTCGAAAAAAAAAAAAAAAAATGTTTTTTTTTTTTCTTTTGTTCGAGAGAAAAAGGACGCGTCTTAAAAATTAAAACCCCGTTGGTAAAAAAAAAATGTTTTAAATCTAAATTATAATTTAGCCCCATATATTTTTTGATTTTCACCCAGTATACATACACTCTATAAACATAGTGATTTTAAGCGTACTATTATTAACATATACGATGGTTGTTGATTCAATGTGCGTTCAATCGATTGATTTTTACGATGAATAAGATTATAAAATAAAATAAAAAAAAAAGTCTTTAATGGGAGGGGAGGGGAGTGTTTTGGGAGAGTGATTTTTTTTTTATAGCGATGGTTTTCTTCTACCTCGCAAGTATGACTTCCTTACACCGCCGGTTTTTTGAATCCTCGTACAGGTGTGGCGTCGCATATGTTGCTTGCCATTATCCGATGCACTGTCTTTTAATTTAAATAAATGAAATAATTTAATAAAGGGGATTATTAAAAAAAACAAGGAAATCCCTTAATTATTGATCTGATAAATTACCTGTGGAATTCCCTGAAGCTTCGTAGGGGAATATGTCCAACTCATTATTTTGTGAGGTGAAGTCATTTGCCTCCAATAAATGGGGCAAATGACGCCTGCGAGCATTAATGAACCAATTCGATATCTGCTGCAGGCTCAATCGAGTCTGACGACTCAATCCGACCTTCTCCTCTTCGGTCGGGTAGGGGTGCTTGCGATGTTGCGCGAGCCAGTCTTTGAGAAGGGCTGTCGTGGCTTTTGGGAGGTTACCCCGGCGCCGCTTTGGCTTGGGGGTGGGTTCAAGCGGATCCTGGTGCGTGTAAATGGAATTGGCAAGATTTGGAGTTGCCAGTGTTGATCTATGATCGATCATTTGGTCACGACCAAATATGAGCCTTTCTTCGTATTCTTAAAAATATTACGTTTATTTTTAGGAAAAGAAAAAAAAAAAAAAAAAAAAGAGAAATTTTTAAAATAAATTGTTTTAAATAACCTACCTCGTGATTTCTCGGAAACCGTTAGCCAGAAACGGCTGTTTATTGACATCATTTCCTCAACCTTTTTTTTGTGGGAGAGGATGAAGTTTTTCTGATGCTCGTTATCTTTTCCGATGACCATATTACATTGGTCGATTGACCTAGGCTCATGGAATAAAATGATTGGGGAGAAGGTGCGAAGCTAATAACGTTTAAAAAAAAAAAAAAATTAAATTTCAAGATCAACAATCATATGCTACTTGGGTACGCTGCTAAAATTGAGAAAAATTGTAAAAAAAAAAGGGGGATAAATTACCTTGTCTTTTGTATAAGCCATTATTATATTAATGAGTGGGAAATATTGCTTCTGGATTTCGTGAAAAACGTTTAGAAACACTTTTTTTTGAAGGCTGTTCGTGGGTGGGGTGATGGTAAAAGGAAGAAAAGAGAAGAACTAGGGGAGAGTATGTAATTCTTCGTTTCCAAATTGAACACACAAGACAAAAAACCGGATGAAAAAAATGTCTTAATTCGTGTTCGTTGTTTGGTGGGGAAAACAGAAGCGGTAGGAAGTACCTTCAAATTTTGTTGTAATTGTTTCGAAAACTAAAATCAAAAAAATTGCCGATTTTTTCATACTTTTTATAGACAAAAAATTTTTTTATATATTGTAAATTAACAATATAAAAAAAAATCTGTATTACATTAAAAAAAAAACATCTTTTTTTGTATTAGCCAATTGCATTAATAAATAAAAAAAATGTTTATAGTAAGAAATTCTCACTTTTATATTTTATATTATGCACATAAAATAAATAAATTATATAAGGTATATAAATAAAATAATTTAAATGTATATATATATGTATGGGTGTGTATATATTTATAATCTTTTGTATTGTAAATATATGTCTCAAATAAATATTCGTTCTTCTTTTGATTTTGCGACGATTAGAGGGTTTAAACTTATACTGGTGACAAAAAAAAAAATCCAAAATGTGTGATATTTCAATAATTCAGCCAAAATTATGATGATTAAATTTGGCCAAAATTAAGGAAACCTAACTTCAGATTTACAATCTCATCTTTTTTTTTTTTTTTTTTTTTTTTTTTTTTATATAATTCTTTTTTATAATAATGTATTGAATGTATTCATTCAATATGTGAACTTGATTTTAATGTCAAATATATGTCAACGCCATAAACGGAAGTGTCCTTCTACCTTCAATAATCACATCACAAATTATTTGATACCTTCCCCACACAATGCGCCAAAAACGGATCGTATGTGAATTACAAATGACCCTGAATGAGATGAATGAGTAGGGAAAAAGTAGTTTAGCTTAAATTAAGGTATTACGTTGTGCGAGTTACCCGGGATCATTAAAGGGGATTGTCTTTGCCGCTTTATTGCGTCAATTATTGTAAAAGGTGTTAAGTTTTAAGTTGCTCGGGGATTACTTCTAAATTTAATTATATTCACTGTTTGATAATCATCCTACATAAAAATTGTTATATTTCTCTTCTGTCGCCAATTTACTTTATAAAGAATTTTTGTTTCGCTCTTCTTTCCTTTCAACAGTTATTTCACGAGTCCCTACATCTTGTTTATTTCTCCGTAATTTTTATCTCCTAATTTAATTTGACTATCACTTCCTTTACTTATCACTTAGCATTGAATGTGTAACCTTGTACCGATTTACTTTGTTAATTCCTCCCAAAGTTACTCTTTTTTTTTTTAATTTCGTCCTCCTATTCGATCGATATTGTTGTGTCACCCTAGTATAATAATAACATTGTAAAAGATTTAATAACATGGTAAATGGTGGGCGGTAAACATTTCTGGTAAATCCCTGAGCATAACCTTTTTTCTAATGGTAAATTAAAATATATATATATATATCGTAAAAAAAAAAAAAAAAAAAAAAAAAAAAAAAAAAAACGCCATTATGCAAAACGTTATTTGATGTGCGAGATATGATCAGTTGTGATCTAATGTGATCAAAGCTACTTTCCATAGTTTATTGATCATCCATTGCCCAATGCCAATCTAAAAAAGAAAAAATTTTCACTCTTCTCCACATTAATAACTTTACTTCAAAAGAATATAAATAAATAATGCCAAATGTATGGTAAGCTCATCAAGAAATAATCATTTTTGAATTATATTATCTGAATTAGGTTTTTTTATTGTCCTATTGTAATTATTGTAATCATCAAGTACAATTAATTATCATGAACAAGTTTTTTAAAATCAATTCATATGTCATGCATATCAACTCCCTCCAATAGAAAAAGAATGTCGCTTTTTTTTTTTTCGAAACAAAAGAAAAAAAAAAAACTTGTTGATTTTCATCAAGATTAAAAAAAAAATTTTACGATTGAACAAATAACATTGTTAAACAATAAACAAAAATATATTTATCTTATTTTACAAAAAGGAAATGTTTTATGTAATTTAATTGATTGAATTGATTAATAGTATCAAACAGTTTTATATATGTCTATCTAAAATAAATCTTATCTCATTAAAAAGATCTACATAAAAATGATTATTTTGTTTGCATTACTTTTTGTTATGCTTCGAGAGTATTAGGCCAACTTTTCTTTTACTGCGGGTCATTTAGGGGAAGGTTTTTGTTTGGCTTTTTTCTTGGCTCGCAAATATGACGACAAAAAACTTTATTGTTGTCCACGCAATGTTTGATTATCAGACACAATCATTTTCTACCTTCATCGTGACCTCTTACCAATCTTGTTCAAATGCATTCTGTCCTTATTTAGGCTCAAAGGTTTTTACGAAGATGTGTCAAATTTCTGTCAAATGAGTGATATTTTTTCTGAAAAAGCCAAAACCGCAGTATTTTGATTTAAAATATAACACAAATAAATAATATTATTTAGAATAATGGAACACTTAAAAAAAAAATGCACAACATTAGTGCACATGACACCAAAACATTACATCTAAATTAATCAAAAACTTGTTTAAATCCTGATTTCTTTCAAAGTCATGTCAAACTTTAGATGATGCCTTTTTTTTTTTTTCGTTGGTTTGCATTATCTTTATTATCTTTGTTCATATCTCCCCCTATCAGAAGTTGGTGAAAGAAAAAAAAAGAAAAAAGTGTGGCTTGCTTATTATTAGGTAAACTTTTATCAACAATAGTTTTTTTTTTTCATCTTAAAGATTATAGATAATGTGAATGATACTAAAGAGTCAAGACCAAAAAAAAAGCTGCATGTATATTTTTTTTTTTTTAAATTGCTAAATAATCTTTTAAAGGGGTTTATTGTTATTCTGGTTTTTTTTTTTTTTTTTCCTTTTTAACTGTACAATATTGATGATATGTATGCTTCATGTTGTATTCCAAACAGATTAACGAGAATATTGAAATATTTAGTCTTTTTAGAAAAGTTGTGGTTTATGTTTAAGGATTTTGTGATCTTTTCAGAAAGTCATGTACCTTGGACAAATTTTGTCACAAGAGCTCATGAGAATTGTCGAGGACAAAGCTCGCTTTGAAACATTTCTCCATTAGACAAATAAACCTAAACCTTAATTCACCTTATGATGTCAATATTATTCGGTTCTTTAACAAACAAATAAGCATTTGAACTATCAATAATTAAAAACGCCGTCGCGCGTCTTTTAGGTTGACGCCAAAGTTTTTTTTTTTTTCGCGCCTTGCATTTGACATTATTGTTTTAACAGAATTCCATTGTCTCCTTTCTATCGACACTTACCTGGTCTTGTATCACAAATTGTGCAACGACAAATATTTGGCAAATATATTTAATATTTTACCGTTGTTGTACTAATTGATCGTGTTTTTGGTTTAGACGTCATGTTTTCGAGTTTCAATTTTTTTGTTCGATGATGAAAAAACACGGACCAATCATAGTTTCCTTTTATGGTAAATCGCGATGAAAAGTTCGCAAATTCATGATAAAAATTTGCCTCAAAAAAGGTTGGAAAATAAAGCATTTCGTAAACATTGGATAAATGCGTGTTATCAAAAAAAAAAAAAAAAAAAAAAAAAAAGATCATGGGGGTAAAAACCCCAAAACGCGTAATCAGATTAATTAATTTATGATCTACGTAATGTGTGCGTGCATTGATTTCTGCTTGAAGAAATGGCTTTTGCGCGAATAATTACAAAAAAAAAAAAAAAAAAAAAAAAAAAAAGTCCCCTGCTAATTAAACATTACTTGGACACGTACATACACCTGTCCAGAATGCTCGTATTCGATTACCTTTTTTACATCCATTCACGGCTTTATGCCCCCCAATGTCCCCGCAATAGAGCCAAACGACTTTGCGTGAACCTTTCACCTTTTTTTTTTTCTTTTTCCTTTAGAAATGAATTGATCAACTAATCTTTTTTCTTGTGCATTCGATAAAGGCAGATGAGCGATACTTGATTCGATAGCCAGTTTTTTTTTCCTTTTTTTCCTTGAAGATTTTTTTTTTTTTGTTCCCAAGATCTGCAAGCTATACAATGTTGTCCGTGCTTTTTTTATCATATTGTATTTATATAATATGGCAATCAGAAGTAGCACATAATATACACCATTATGAACTTTAATGATAAATTCACTAACCATTAAAAGTCATATTGTTGTCTCGAATTTTAAGTTACATGTACATGTATGTGGTTGATAAAGGGGTGAGTAAAAAAAAAAAACAATGGAAAAAATACAATGGAAGCAGCGCAAAGGACAATTTTTGCCATAAATTTAACTTAAGATTTTTCTTAAACGAATTCATTAAAATTCATGGACAAAAAAAGGTAAAAATCCGAAGGCCAATAACACGATCAGATATCCAAAAAAAATAAATAAATAAATAAATATATTCTCGTACAATTTTCATATCTTTTTCTTTTTTTTCCTTTTGGGATGCATGCATTTTTTTTTTTTGTAACTAAAAAAAAAAAAATGCAAGATGGTAGGTTGATTTCCATTATCACACTTAATTATAGTGTTGAAATTTTTTTTTTCTTTTTTTTTTTTTTTTCAAATTTGGCATTTCATTAGAATATATGGGAATTTTTGCTTGTGATTTTTTAATAATAAGTATATGGGGTAAGATGTTCTGTAGTTTTAAGGGAGACGTAATATGCATGTATTATTACAGTGTATCTAAAATTGTATTCAATGTTAATCTCTTGTTGTAATTATTGTTATTGTTATTATTTATTTAAAATCGTTTTTCTATGTGGGTGAGTGTACTCAAGATCGGCTTTGGTGGGGAATAAGGAGAAATTGAGATAAATTTTTTTTTTTTTTTTGTGCAGAAATTAAAGTTTATATGCAAAGTGACAAATGAACGTAAATATTAACATTTTTTGATGTTTGGGAGACGTGATATATAAACGTGATTACCACACGAAATCACGAGCGCATAATTCCAACTTTGCAAGACGTGTTAATCTATTGTCTTGAAGAAGCCAATCTTGTAATCCCGAACGAAAGAGAACTTTTGATACGAGAGAAAAAGGGTTCAGTGGTCGTTAGGATAATCTCGAATTTTCAGCGGGCAAGTGGAAAAGTAGACTAATCAATATTATTTATTAATCAATGACAGGGGGACGACTCAGGTTCCCCATCGACCAACCAATCAATACCGATCCCACATGAAGAACGCGACGAGATCTCACAATTCATCAATTTTTCAGGGGAAAATCATTTTTTTTTAAACATTTTGTTGAACTTTGAATCGTTTGGAGACGAATTTCAAGGTTTAGGGGATCTTGCATCCAATTTACTTTAGGTTTAAAAAAAAAAAAAAAAAATCATAATAATATTTATATTTATGTTATGCGCAATCCGATTATTTTTTGTTTTCCTTTGGCGTTCATGCCGAATGTTTGTTCATTTAACTTTAATTTCCTTTTATTTGTTATTGAAATTTAAATTGCAAGCAAAATTAATTTTACAAATAAAAAAAAATTTAGGCAAATCTTATGTTTACGACAAATAATCGTTAAATTGCCAACCAAAATACACACACGCTTTGTACGCATCTTGATTGATCAACTTTTTTTTTTTTTTTTTCTTTGATTAATGTAATTTTTTATAATATAATTTATTTACTTTACCCCGCAACCATAAACAACCATACTTGGTGGTAAACTAAATATGCTCTGTCTGAACTTTAATCATTTTAATCATTTTAATAAATCTGCAAATAACAATGATAAACAGGTTGTTGATTAAATTCGACTTTTGGGAGCGTTTGTAAAAGGGGAAATGGGATAAATGAAATTGTCGGTTTAACCTTAAAGTTGTTGATCAAAGCTGAAAACTTGTTATTTGCCACTAACAAATATTCTTGTACCTGTTAACTTGACAAAAAAAAAAAAAAAAAAAATTTCCTCCTTATGGTTGTTTAATTAATTCTATAATTACCATAATTAGACATTCAAAATAGGTTCATTATAAACGATAGTATGTATTTCTATTTTTGTACCGATTGTCAAAAAAAAAAAAAAAAAATAATTATTTTTCTCTTGAGTAAAAAAAAAATCGTCAAGTTCACACGCCAAGAAGACTATTTTGTTATAATTTTCGCGTAAGAGAAAAAAAAAAAAGGAAACGGCGCCAGTATGAAGCTTGGATCCCTTGTTTGTAATTACACCGCGTCATTGAACCTTACAAAAGGAAAACTTACTAATACATTACACTTTTAAACCCCACAAATATTTAATATTATTTTTTGTGGAGGGCGTAATTCCTTTCTTCTTTAACTTCCATAACAATTGATAAATGATTCATTGTTAATTGTTAAGGTTTCAAACATCTTTAACCTTGCATTATGTAATGAAGTTACCCATCCCGTTACCTTGAATTTGTCATCGAGGAAGGAAATGAAAAAATTTTTTGTTTCTCTCTTGCAATTAATTTCATGTATCAGATGCCTACCCCACATAATCTAATTTACGCATTGGTCATTTAAAGTTTCTATGAATCATATGACTAACCGCTTATCATTGATGTTTATCAAAGCAAGATAATTTTTTTTTCGTTGACCTGTGCTAATCAATGCTAGTACCCGACATTCGTTAGTGATTTTCAATGCGCCAATGCGTCTCTTTTCGAATTTATTCTTTTTTAAAAAAAGTTCCATAAAATAAAAGGCGTATTTTTTTTTTTTCCTGTGATATCCCCACATAAACAATCAATTCCATTTTTTTACATAAAAATGTTGCATAGAATAAAAACGCCGAGGTGCATTGTTCATTTCGCCCATCTCCATTGTGTAACGCCAATGTTTAACAACAATCATAAATATTCATTTGTTTTTTTTTTTTCTTTTTTTTTTTTTTTTTTTAAAAAAAAATCATTCCATTTCTTATTCGTTGCCAATCTTGTTTAAGGAACTTTAAGGGAAAGTTTATTGTTGTTAATTGTGAACTCGGAGAAATATTTTTCACAATTGTAATCAAATTTTTTTTTTTTTTTGACATCTTTGACGGCTAAGGTGCACAAAATAAATAACATAAAGTAAAAATAAAACCTATTTACAATATTGTGTAATATGGCAAAATGTAATACCGCAGGTATAAGAAAAGGATCTTCACCTCTGTGAACAAAATTTATCTTGAAATGGTAAGACCTGTTGCAGATCAATGGCTACACAAATAAATCGATGTGGGGAAACGATATTCCATAGTTTAATGATAACTCGTTATGAAACTGGTTCGTTTTTAATGATAAGAAACTGCGCGATCTGATTGGACGATGCGAATTTTCATATGCAGGGTCTTGCTTAATGTGTTGCCTTAAAACGATCATTTTTAGTTCATTGTTTAATAGAACCGGTCTATGCGTAGTTAATGTATGGGGAATGGGGTTAAGTGGGGTCACATGTCCTAATATGGCTCGGTGATTTTATAATGTGAAAGTTAGTATCGAAAAAAAAAAAAAATCTGATTTCGTAAGCATTTATTTATGTTTTTTCTTATTTTATTTTTTTTTTTTTTTTTTGTTCGGTTTTTGATCATAATGTGATGTGTAAAATCACTAATTATTTGGATGGGATTTTTTTTTTGCCAAAAAAAAAAAATGGCAAAATCTCTGTCTTCTTCCTTCGTCCCTTTTCATTATTTTTTATCGTTAAAAATTTGAAAATTTGTTTTAAAATTTTTCACGGCACCTTATTCGTAACGTCTCGTCGTAAAATATGAGAGGTTACATAAAATTAATGTTGAAATGGGAAAAAAAATAGTTAAAACTGTCTATATTTGGTAAATTACAAATTCAAAAGGGTGTCAGTTTTAAAGAGATTTTTACCCAACCCACCCTTTCCCCCAAAGCCAAAGCTACCTTAAATTATCATACCTTAACATGTCAATTTCCAATGTACTTTTATGTAAAAATGAGAACACAAGTAAAAAAAAAAAAAAACAAAATATGATGTTATATAGTTTTTGATAGTGAATGATTGTAATATTCTCCTGAATTTTTTTCGCCAAATATATTCGGTTTGTAACATCAAAAAAAAATAAATAAAGTTATTGTTTTAAAAAAAATATATATATATTTATTTATCTTATCATTCCATATGTTGTCTTTTTTTAGAAAGAGAGAGAGAAAGAGGGAGAGGAGGGGACAGTGATGATGAAATGTTTTTTTTTTCTATGAAAACGGAATGGATAGGTTTGAAAATATTTTCAATTATCAAATAATATTACAACCTTTCTTTTTTCCTCCCTTTCACGTCTTTTTTCTTTTTCGCCCCAATTTGTTCCTCATTTCGTTATTCGCAAGAAGCGACATTTTCCAAAACATAATTCTAATTCGTTAAATGATGATTGTTTTTAGCAATCATCATGCCTTTTTTGTCAAATCACGAGATACAAAATCTCACCTTTTCGATTGTTTTTTAAAGGTTGACAAAAATTCCTTTGGGCGGGAAAGGATTTCCACATGGCATTTCAATCATGCAAACCTTACATCCGTTAAGATAACTTTGACGTTTTATTATACGGTACAATTTGATGATTTAACCGCAAATGGGCATTCAGTTGGGTTGTTTTTTAAAGTTTCAGTTTATTAATTTAATTTATTCGGGGCATAATGAAGTGAAACCATTTAATAATGATGAATTTATACACCATTTATTTTAGAAATAATTTTAATTCGTTACAAACATTACGATGTCAGATGCAAACAATCAAGGTAAGCCCATGCTGAGAGATTTTTTTGAAGGTTAGGTCAATTTTTTTTTTTTTTTTTTTCAACTACATAATAATAATGAAAACAATAAGTTGATTATTAGGAAAAGCGGGAGTCCAAACAAATATTTGTGTTTTTTTTTTTTCGGAGTATGTTGATCAATGAGGGGAAGAAATACAATGAGGTGCAGTTTAATTTATAATTAATTTGGATTATTAATAATAATTTATTGTATAAATCTTATTATTATTGTATAAAAAAAAATTTTACACGTCTTATCCATTTTAATACTTATTTATTTATGATTTGATAATAATATTAAGGTTTTTTTTTTTTTTTTTGTATTATATTGTTCACTATCATATCAATATTTCTGTATTTGAAAGTTGCAGGGCATCAAGGATGTTCATTGCGTGGGGGAGGAGAAAAAAAAAAAAATGCGGGGAAGATAAACTTCTTGTTTGTTACAGGGTTCGCTAATCTCTAGTTCCTATAAGATAACTGATCCGATTGTTCTCATTACTATTGTTCTTTATCGGTCGATTATTAACTTTTCATAATCTTTACATGAGGTTGAAAATCGGATCTACTGAAAATTCATTTGTTGGCTTACCCTGTTTCCACCCGAATACCAGGAAAAGTTCCAATGTGATAAGAGGAAAGCGACATGCGAGGTTAGTGATACTGTCTGTATATGTTGTTTCTTAAATAAATAAAAAAAAAAAAAAAATTAATAATAATTCAATGACTTCATGACTTCATGCAATATGACAAAAAAAACGCCATCACCTTTTTTATTCTATAAAAAAAAAATTTTTTCTGTGAAACGGTCTAATTAAACAAACATTTGAGTATGATGCACGAGCCCTACGTTATTATTATTATTATTATTATTTTAATTATTATATGATAATGTTACTCAAATTTTTTTTTTTTTTTTTTTTGACAGCTCGTCAAATGTCATCGCTCGTTTAATCGTGATTTAATTTAAAGCGTGATAACCTAAAAATCCTGATAACTATTCGAGATGATCTTTGTAAAATTTTTATTTTTAATTTTTTTTTTTTTTTTTTTTTTTTTTATTATTATTATTATTATTTTTATTATTATTAATACACATTTATATTGATAATTACGTTTTTTTTTATTTATCAATCGGGTGAATTTAAATGGTGTAACGAGGTAGCTTTTTTTCCGGAGATTTTATGCAACATTGCATGACGTGATTTTCGATTAAGGATTATGTTTTGGTTTTGACATCATGGCTTGATTGATTTGATTACATACATTTTTTTGATCATGACGATAGTCTACTTGATTTGAAAAAAAAAGGGGTTGTAATAATTTCTATAAAAAAAAAAAAAAAAACCTCACTATTAATATTCTTGTTAGTAAAAGCTTCTCTTTTTTCATGAACGTGATAGTGATTTAGTGCATCCCTCTTTCCTTATAAATAATATATATCCTCATCAAATAAAAAGAGAAGAAAGGAAAACGAAGAGATAAAGAGAAAAATCACACCTCGTTAATTCGCGTGACCTTTGAAATGTTGAAATGTCTGAAACGGCACAAGTAACTATCACCTCAAAAATCCTTCGTCCAACGCCTAGTTCGACTCAAAAGGAAGAGGACGTTCCCGGTTCTACTCTTCACGTTATCATTCATAACGTTCATCACATGCGCCTTGAGTTCCCCCCTCCTCCGGATTACATCATCCCAACGACGATTTGGAACAATGTGGTGCAACGACTTCGATTACTAGGTCTCAAGTTCGTCTACGGTAATGGAAACATTGAGGAGTCCCGTTTGTACGATTTTGAAAGGGATCAATCCTACTCTCATATCGTTAAGCACAACGATTATGAGATGTCGAGTGAAAGTTATCGATCCTCCGAGGAGGAGGGGGTTCAGGAACTTTATTCAAAAGCTCCCGACCCCATCCTTGGGGATGTCAATCACGTTGGGGATGAAATGGTTCAACAAGAACTTGATGGCTTGATCATGGAAAAGGGACCAGAAATTATCAACAAAGGTCGTGCAACAACCTCCACCGTTCTAGTTGACCATGTGACAGAAACTTCAAACCAATTAAACCAATTGGACAACGAGAATTACATCAAATTTGCCATGTTGATTTCGGTTATCCTATTCTCTGTTTGTTTTATGAGAAGGTTTTGTTCGGTTTCTCGAAATGTGAAATTCAATCCTGCGAGAGATACCTCTTCAAATCCAACATTACAAGATCATGCACCTCTAAGTAGAAAACGAAGCAGAAAGTGTAGATGAATTGCTATTTACTTTTGCTTTGGTGATCAAATAACGGTATAGATCAATATCGGTGTAGGGTTAGAAAAAAAATTTACGTTTTTATAATTGCATTGGAACAATAATAATAATATCATCATCATCATATATGATATGATTATTCAAGGGAGGGGGGATTGTATTTTTATTTTTATTGGATTCCATATAAGAAAGATTTTGACACGATCAAAATAATTGCAGAATTCAAATATCAGGCCACCACACATTTTTGTGAAACATTGCAGCATATTCTTTCCATGATGCATTATCTACCCATTCCCTAGCTTCTAACCAAAACCAAAACTTCAACCACCATGCGCCACCTCCTGGGATTTCTTTCAAAACGCCCCTACCCGCCCCTTGCGCACCCAATTCACGTAAGATTGGTAACGCACTTTTTAATAAATCCATGGTTGGATCTAATCGTCTACCAATCCCTTCTAATAATAAAATTGAGATTATTACATTGACAAAATCACCCTCTAACTTCACGTGATGCTGCCTAACCATTTGTAAGACCGTGGTTAAAATATCGGCAATTCCAATCTTCCCTAATTGAAGCGTTATTGCCTTCACATTTAAAACCAAATGTTGCATCTTTAATGCAAATATTTCCCCACCTTTTACCAAGTTTGGAGTTTTACATCGTTCAATCATTAATCTACCAGCTTTATAACCATTAAATTCTGCTATCGCACGAAATAAATCCAAAAAATTTCGACGATTTTCTTCATTTAAACTCGTTATCAATCCTGTATCTAAAAAGACTAATTGTGGTAAATACCCCTCATTACATAATTCTTTCAACTCATCCAACCAAAGTGCCTTGTCGTGACTTTTTGATAAAAGTCTCTCAATCGCAACATCCGAATCGTGATCACCGTATCGAATCTTTGATTCCTGCTCATCGGAAGCAGTGTAATGTGCCCAAAATTGGCGTAGCACGGTATAGGTGTTCGGTTTCGTGAATTTGATCATGATGTTACCAGGATGTAAATCCGAGTGCACAAAATTATCAAGGATGAGCATATGCTACATATATATAGTGTGACGAGAATGCCGATAATATTAAAAATTTGAACAAGTCAAAAGGAAATGTATTCAAAAACAGATTTCAACCTACAAGAAAAATGTCAAGGCCTAATCATATATTTAAAGAGATGAGAATAAATTAAGTCTAAATTTGAATGGAAAAAACAAAAAAGACGGAGATGATAGATCGAACTTACCCATGTTTGCAATCATATGATCAAATACACTGGCGCCATTATCAAGGAACAATTTAATGGGCAATGCTCTTACGTATTCCTCGATTAACATATTCTTTGTAGTGCATCCGGTCAAAGGTTTAGGAAATTTTACTGTTCTGCGATTACGAAAATTATTTTGAAATTCCAATAAATTTGCTTCCTCGATCCTTAGATCCAATTGATCTCGCATCATTTCTCCAAACATTGAAACTTCTTCTGGAAAAGAAAGCCATTGCATTGTGGGGATTGCATTAATAATCTTTGCAAACGCCATTAAAATCTTCAAATCCCGCCGTATATTTTTTTCTGCAGTAGGATGTAAAACTTTGACAGCTACCACAGGAGGATGAATTACATCCGTACCATTAGAATCATCATAAAAAAAAGATGGAAGGATTTCAGGACGAATAATAGCTTTATACACCTAATAAGAAGATCAAGCAAGGATTTAGTTCTCAAATCAAAACACATGTACACATAAAAAATTTTTTCTCTCATACCTGTGCAATTGCACCTATTCCTATTGGTTTCATATCAAATTCAATAAAGATTTCTTCAAGTGATCTTCCAAATGCTGCTTCAACAATTCGTTTCGTTTCATAAAATGGATGTGGATCAACGGCAGAGTGAAGCTTTGAAAGAAGATTACACATCTCTTTGGAAAAGATATCAGTTCTTGAAGCAGCCCATTGTGCCAACTAATCCAATTATTAGATGAATTAATAATAAAAAAATCATTTTTATAGAATACAAACTATTCTAATGTAATGGTCATCACAAACCTTGATAAATGTTGGCCCGGCCCGTTCCATACTTCTCACCAACATGTTATACCACCAAAGCGCACCTGTCCTTTCGTCATCCTTTTCAGGAACTCTTTTACCGATTAATATTATGGGTGATCCAACAATAAGTGGCATAAATAAACAGAACAAATAAGTAAATCGACATGCTATTAATATAGGCTCAATAATATATTCGGAGATAAATCTCACAATATAACTTATGGATTTCCTCATTAGATTAGGTTCCGAACATTTTGCAGTCGATATCGATTGTACTTTATAAGAATCATTGAATTGTTTATTTGTTAAATCAGAGTTATCGTTATCTAATGTAACTAAAGAAAATCTAAAGTGAAAGGGGATTATTGAAAGAGGGCCACACGAATATTCTAGCCTCAATCCATTCTGTATTATTTTCGAACCTTTTTGATCATAAAATGGACTTTTAACTCTTTTAAAACTGCTTTTATTACCTTTGACAAAAAATAATGAGGGAGTGGAAAATTTTCGTGGATATTTTAATTTTAGACAGAATCTAGAAAAATAAAGGTTTGAAGTAGAGTAACGTCCTAATGGAACTTTACTCGAAGTTCTTATAAAATGATTCATTCGTAAAATGTGTTTCGAAAATAAGTTCCCAAATAGGAATTGGAATCGAAATCGATCGAATTAGATTCGAATCTCTTGTTGAGTGGCGCAGTAAGCAATTTAAACGATCCTCTATATCCTTATTCGATCGTTGCAGCCTAAAGCGATTAAACCCATAAAATAAATACCATATAAAATAAAAATTAACTTAACTAATACTTAGAAAGAATAAGAACAGTCAAACTAAGATCGATCGCTGCGGCCTGAAGCCAATGCAACCCGAATCTGAAAAAGGAGAACCTAATAAGCAAATGAAATAAAAATAAAATAAAATAAAAAAGAAAATCGTGTAAATGAGAAACGCTTACCTATTTAATCAAGCCGACGTTAATTTATTAAAAAAAAACTAATTGAAAAAAAGAATCTCAAAATCTGTTGATTGGATGCATCTTAGTAATTATTCTGATAATTAACTAGTAAATTAAATCATATACCAGAATTTTAGAATTTATTTAATCTGTATGCTTATATTTGCATGATTTAAGTCTAGGATTGCAATTCAATTGATTTCGAATATCGAAAATCAAAAATTAAAAACAAATGAAATTGATTTCGATTTCCGATATTCGTTTGAATTTTTTTTCAAATATTTGAATTTCAAACGAAACCATATTTAAGTCACATCAAATATATATATAAAATCATTTAAATAAAAATGACTTATGTAATGTGGTTTGAAAAGATATATGTGAGCCTAAAAAATATCTTTTTTAATAACGATAAAATTATTAGTAATGTTGTATTCAGTCCTTTCGTTTATTAATTTATAAACAATTTTAAATGTAAGCAGAAGATTTTTGTTGAGTAAAAATGAAGTAATGTTAACGATAAATATATTTAATAATATCAAATTAATCAGTGTTCGGCGCTCTACACTTTTTGCAATGTCAATATATTAAACTAAATAAATGCCAATCAATAAAACTTCTAATTAATTAAAACTGCGCGATTGTGTAAAAAATAAGAAAAAGCGGAAATTAAAAAAAATAAACGAATTACAAATATAAAATTAAAATGTTAAAACGGCCGAAAGCGAAAATATCGCGAAGGGATAAAGGAAGGTTTTTAAGGTGTATATATGCAAGTATAAGAAGTGCGAGCCTGGAATTTTTGAGATTTCCAGCTCGTATTTATAAAAAAAATAATTATTAGGACAGCTTGACATTTCATCTGGCATTCTAACAACCTGTCAAAATGATCTTCAAAGGACTAACTGCAAATATCGAAAACAATTTACATGCGTGTCTCTGGGCGGAATTATATTTAATGTAACAGTAAAATATAATATATTACAATCTTATTAAAAATGGAAAGAGAAATTTAGAAAATATTTCATCCCTTCATTAATGTTTTAAAATTCTATCATTTAAACAAATAGAATTAATTAAACCTTTAAAATTCTTTTTCAAATGCTTATAATAGAGTCAATATTTTTTATCTTGCTTATTATTAACCTTTTTCTCAACAAAATTTCATTTTATAATATACAGTAATATTCATCTTTATAATTAGTCTAAAATAAGTGAAGGACTAAATTTTCTATGTAAAGTATTCCAATGTCTGCTCACTTAATAATCTAGTCAATATTGATTGACTTTTGCAATTGCACAAAAAATCTAGATAAAGCAAATCTCAGTGTAAATTTATTTAGGTTAGTTTTGATTCTAAATATTTATAAATAATAAAATATAGATTTCAAATAATATTAATAATTTGTTATTTAAGTTTAAAGATATCTTTTATAAAAAATATAATAATATATATATTTTTTAAAACGTGATAATGCTTTTATTTATTAAGTATAATCATAATCAATAAAAAATTACATGAAAATTCTCTAAAGAGGTACAGATATAGAAAAATAAAAAAAGCTGTTTAATAAACCAAAAAGTTTAAAACTCAAGTTTATCAGACTAACTGGTGATCCTATTAAGCTCTGGTAATAATCAATAGTAAAATTACTATTATCACATAATTATATAAAAGTAGACGTATAACAGCTAGTTATTACTGCATTAGAAAGAAAAGCTAATAATAACCATATATATAAAAATTTTAATCAAAGAAATATGATCACGTTGTGAATATGTAAAGAAAAAAAAAGTATTAGTAAATCTATTTCTAGAGAAAGTAGTTGATAAAACAAATGAACCATTTTTTTACTAAGTTATGAATGTGAAGAGATTATTCTTTAATGATAGTAAGGTCATATTTTAATTTTCATATAAGAGCATAAGTTTGATTAAAGAAAAATTTATAAAAGAAAGAAAGAATAATATAAGTAATGGAAGAGAAATTG